CTCCCTTCCTTTTGTCTTTTTCACTATAATAATCCTTACCCTATAGGCCAGGGAAACAATATGGGGGGTTTTATGAAGTACTAAGTATTTCTCCTCTAATAATACAGTCAGAGGCTGTGAGCGAAACCTTGGTCAGGACTTCATTTATTACCTAGCTCCCCTATGCCTCCACTATGATAGGTGCTTTGGGTCCCAGATATCAGTGTCAATTCAGACACTGCAGTCAACAAATATTTGGGTATTTCCCTTTCCCCCATGCAGTTATTGGAGTAAATGGCAGTAGGTCCCTTTGGTGAAGGATTAGGCGAATCATTACCATGTGTACCTGACATGTATTGCAGGGTCCTTCTCCTGGGGGCATGGCCTTTTCTTTAGTCACTGATATCTGGGTTGAAAACTTGACTGAAGTCTGAAACCAAACAACAGATCATGACTTCTTATTGGAGCAACTGCTCTCAGCCTCCAGAGGCTGGTTTATTTTAATGGCACATATTCAGTAATTCCCTTGTTGGTTGTCTGTCTATTTTGCTCCTAAAAGAGCTGTGTTCTCTTAATTCCACAACTCACTGAGAATCAGGACTTCTCTGGCTGCCTCTTCAACCTTGACAATTGTTAAAACTATGCGCACCTGCTTCTGTATATGTGATGGATGCGTATACGTATATATGGCAGATATAGCCAGAAGAGCACTACTTCAAGGAGATGCAAAGGAGACCATGGGATACACAACATTAACAAAATGGAGAACAAAATTCTGTTATCACGTCAACAGGTGCAGAAGAAGCATTTGACATATTCCATCCATGATAAAAGCTCTCAGCAAACTGGACATAGAGAGAATGTGCTTCAATATAGTAAAGGCCATATGTGACAAGCTCACAGCTAACATATTCAAGGGTGAAAGCTAAAAGCCTTTCCTTTTAAGATCAGGAAGAAGACGGGGATGCCCACTCTCTCACCACTTTTATTCAACATAGTACTGGAAGTCCTAGCCAGAGCAATAATTCAAGAAAAAGAACAAAAGGTATCCCATGTTAGAAATAAAAAAGTAAAACTGTCTCTATTTGCAGATGACGTGATATTATGTACAGAAAAATTATGCATCTGCCTAATCAATGGCTGTATACTATGCACCCAAGGGGCCATGTTAATTTTTTAAAACTCCACAAAAAAAAGTTAGAATTAATAAGCAAACTCATTAAAATTGCAGGATACAAAATCAATATGCATAAATCAGTTGTGTTTCTATACATTAATAACAAAGTATCAGAAAGAGAAATTTAAAAAACAATCCCAATAACATCAAAAAGAATAAAATACCTAGGAATAAATTTAACCAAGAAGATGAAAGACCTGTACACAAAAACTGTTAAGACAATAAGACACTGATGAAAGAGATTGAAGGACACAAAAATAAATGAAAAAATATTCCATGCTCCTGCTGGTGGGAATGCAGACTGGTGCAGCCACTGTGGAAAACAGTATAGAGTTACCTCAAAAAATTAAAAACTGCAATTTGACTTAGCGATCCCACTTCTGGAAATATATCCTAAGAACCCTGAAATACCAATTAGAAAGAATATATGCACCCCTAGTTCATAGCAGCATTATTTACAATAGCTAAGATCTGAAAATAGCCCAAGTGCCCATCAGTAGATGAGTGGATAAAAAAGGCTGTGGTACATTTATACCATGGAATATTCTGCAGCTGTGAAAAAGAAGGAGCTCTTACCCTTTGAGACAGCATGGATGGACCTGGAGATTATTATGACAGTTAGAGAAAGACAAATATCACATGATCTCACTTAACTGTGGAATTTAATGAACAAAATAAACTGATGAACAAAATAGGTCCAGAGGTATGGATGCATGGAACAGAATGACAGATCTCAGAGGGGAGGGGGGGATGGGAAGAGATGAATCAAAGAACATATATGCATGTATGCATAACCCATGGACACAGACAATAGTGTGGGGAAGGCCTGGGGTGGGGTGGAGGTTCAGTGGAGGGAGCGAAGGGGGGAAAATGGGGAATATCCGTAATACTATCAACAATAAATAAACAAATAACAACAACAAAAATATTCCATGCTCATAGATTGGAAGAATTCATATTGTTAAAATGTCCATACTACCCCAAAATATCTACAGATTCAATCCTTAAAATTCCAGTGGCATTTTTCATAGAAGTAGAAGAAATAATCTTAAAATTTGTATGGAACCACAAAAACCCCAAACAGCCACAGTAATTTTGAGAAAGAACAAAGCTGGAGATATCAAACACCCTGATTTCAAACTAGATTACAAAACTAGATTACAAAGCAATAGCAATCAAAACAGTATGGTATTGACATAAAAACAGACACATAGATTAATGGGAAAGAATAGACAACCCAGAAATAAACTCATGCATATATGATCAATTAATTTATGACAAAGCAGCCAAGAATATACAATAAACAGCATTGGACAACCACATTCAAAAGAACAAACCTGGACCCTTATCTTGTAACATACACAAAAGTAAACTCAAAATGGATTAAAGGCTTGAATGTAAGGCCTAAAGCCATAAAACTGAAACTGGAAACTCAAAACTTGAACATAAGACCTGAAAATATCTTCTGGTGAGGATTAAAAAAAATTTTTTCCAAAGAACATCACGTGGAAGAATCTTCTGTATGTTTTACAGGACTAGAATCAGCACCGAGGTTACACAAGCACAGGTTCAACTAGTAAAATGTGGGAAAAGACTCAGCTCTGAAAGCAGGAGATCCAGATTACTTTATGACTAGCCATGTGACCTTGCGAAAAGTCATTTACATTCTGGAATCCAGTGCTGTCCAATAGAACTTTTTCCAACAATGGAAACTTTCCATGTTTTTGCTGTACAGAACAGTAGCCACTCACCACAGGTATCTTCTTCAGCACTTGCAATGTGGCTAGTATGACTTAGGAACCGAATTTTAAATTTTAATTAATTTAAATAGCAACATGTTGCTAGTGGCTACAGTATTCAAAAGGTGCAGCTCCAAACCTTAATTTCCTCCTCCCTGAAATGGGAAAAATAATACTTATCGAATTGTTGACCTAAGGTTAACACGACTTTATATGTGACCTCTGAAAAACTGTACCGTGGTAATTACACAAGTGTGAATTGTGTGGGCAATTTTTTTATTATTGTCTTATCCTCAAGAGTTTCTAATATTTGAAATTAAAGAAAAATGGAATAGGCAGACAAAAAAGTGGAGTTCCCCAAGTTGGGTTTTCATACAGGTTCGAGGCAGACAGATATCAGAGAAAGGGCAAAGACGCCACGAAGAGTTGGGCTAAATCCAACACCTCCTTCCAGTGCCTGCGTAGACCTTCTTCAGGAGGATCCGCCTGCGTCCCCCTGGCTGAGTTAGTGACCCTCCTCTAGCATCACCAGGGCACTTTCCACCTGTACTGTGTAAAACGGTGTTTACTCCACTGTGTCCAAGGGCAGGTGCCTCTTAAACCTGTGTCCTTCCCTGTTGTGTCCCCTGCGCTTAGTCAGCCGCCAGGCACATAGTAGGCCCTCAATCAATACTTGCTGAGTGATTAACCTACCATGTACTCTTGAGGATATNCTGTGTCCTTCCCCGTTGTGTCCCCTGCGCTTAGTCAGCCGCCAGGCACATAGTAGGCCCTCAATACTTGCTGAGTGATTAACCTACTATGTACTCTTGAGGATACNCCGCCAGGCACATAGTAGGCCCTCAATCAATACTTGCTGAGTGATTAACCTACCATGTACTCTTGAGGATATAGTTCCCTGATAATAATTAACTATTAAATTTGTAAGAAACCTTAATACAGTTTTTTGCGGACGAAGCGGATGAATACCGGCTGTCGCAGCGGCGCGGTTGGAGAGCCTCGGTTCCAAGAGGCTTGCTTTCTGTCGCCTTTTCCTCCCTCGCGTCTTCAGGCTGCGGAGGCCTCGCGGTCACGAAGTCGCGACGATTCGCTCGGCGGTGGAGACGAGCGGGACGCGCGCGAGAACTACATTTCCCAGCGACGCCCGTGCGCGCGCCCCT